GGGACGATAGCAGGCTGAGGCTCAGGGTGTAGGTGAGCAGAGAGGCCTGAGCAGAGGCTCCTACCCTGTTACACAGATGCGGAGTAAGAAGAGATTCTTTTTTCATACAGGTACAGACAAATACACGCATTCACAGTACACGTATGCACAGCACATGCATATACCTAAGGACAAGTGTATCAGTCAGTTAGACACATAAGCAACACCCTCCGCTAGATACAGACACACACATACTGCCTAAAGACACACCCTCATGCACTCTCAGTCATAACAAATATGTGTGTAATGGAAAGGCACATGCTTGTTTTACACACACACCGTCGTCAAACAGGAACACACAAAGAGGTACCTAAATATATACACAGGCGCTCATTCATGCTCCAGGGCACACAGAGGCGCAGGTGTACTGCTAGACCTACTGGTCACAATCACGTACCAACACAGATGCCCGTTTACAGTTTACACACATGTAGAACAGAGGCACACACCCTCCCCTCCCCCACGACAGTCTTGGGGTCTGGGGTAAGACGGCACCGATACCCTCTCCTCCCCTCTCTTCCCCTCCTCCCCAGGAATACAACACATCTTGCCCAGCCCAAGGACTAGAAGGGATAATAGGGAGGGGTAGGGACCGAGGTCAGGAGCCCAAGGCTACCAGGCAGGCTCTTGAAGCTCAGTAGGGACCCCTGCATGCCCTCTGTGGCCCCTATCCAGAACCACCTCAGTACTCACCGCGGCTCTTCCGGAGCTGGGACCGAGGGGAAGCAGAGAGGAGGCCGGGCCCCAGCTCAGCCGTGCAGGCGGCGCAGCTCCCGCTGCTTCAGGCCCGCCTGCCTCCGGTCCCTCCTCCAACACCCCCACCCCGCGAGCCGCTCCACAACGCTAATCTCCCCCTCCCTCCTCTCCTAAGGCCCTGAGCCCCAAAGCTGCCAACCCCCCTCGTCTCTAAACCCCCACTGGGCTCTGCCGCCAGCCTAGAACCCTCCCCAGACGAGGGGGAGGGCAGGGAAGCCCGGGGGCTGCTCCCAGACCCTCACATGCCCGCCGCACTAGCGTCCATATCCCTCTTGCCCACTGAATCTTGAGGCATGCAGGGCCCCGCTGCACACGCGTGTCCCGTTCCAGACCCCACGCGTGTCCCTAGGAGGCTGCCACATGACCTGTTACATGCCACACACGCTCCCGCCCCCACGAGCACGAGGCCGCGCAAGGCACAAGGTGCAGTGTAGACCGGACCCGCCCCCTAGAACCAGAAGGCCCACTATGGAAGGGAGATCAAAGGGACACCGTCTTGAGCCCTTGGGGTTCCAAATCTCAGACCCAAGAGATCCAGTCCTGCTCACCCACCCCGGAATAAGTCAGGAGTAAATCAGACTTGGAGAACTTGCTTGCTGCCTAAGCTAGTTGTCTTGCCCTCCAGGGTTAAGAGCTCAGGCAGGATGACCCCGAGACTAGAAGGAGTGGAGGAGGACGGGCCACCCTAGTGTCCTCGACCAGGGGTCTGGCTATTTTAAGAAAGGGCCCCACGGATTACTGTGGCAACTACTCTCTTTAGGAAAGCCAGAGTGGGCAGGTGATGACCTCAGAAGGAAGAAGGGGTCTGCGCTAGCGGTCAGGGGGCGTGCGGAAGTGCGAGGCGGGGGTGCGCGGGGCTCACCGCGGGGAGGGGTGGCGCGGGCTCCGCGTGGTGCTGAAGGGGACAGCGCCAGATTGGTCGTACTACGCAGGCGCAGAGGTGTGAACAAAGCGGGGAGGGAGAGGAGGCGCGCGCGGCCGGAGGTGGTGCGCGCCCACGTCTATCTTTGCAGAGGTCAGTCCTAGCTGCCTCTTCCCGGAGCAGCCTGAGGAAGAAGAGGAAGCAAGGCCTCGTCCAACTAGATCCCTTTCTGGGCTTTTCCTGATGCCGACTTTTCCCTTATTGCTGCAGTAGAGGGGTGAGGGAGCGTGAAGGGGATTCTGGGAAAACCAGGATATTTGGGTTTTCTACCCCAGTCTCGTTTGAACCTGGTCAAGACGCTTTCTCTCCAGGGCCTCGGTTTCCCCATCTTTAAAATGGAGTGAAAGCACAGAGCTGCCCACCTTGTAGAGTGCCGAAGCCCCGAGATCACGGCTGGGAATGGAACGGGCGGGCGGCTGAAGCAGCTGCAAGAAGGGGCGCGAGACCCCGACAGATGGCAGGGGCCCAGCATCCTTCACCTCCCCAGCCCGTGGATGGAGGAAAGAGTAACTCCAGGGATTCCCAGAGCCGAGCCTGGGACTAGGACCTAGGGAGGCAGTGAGAGGGTCGCTCCCTGGCCCCACCGTGGCCCAGGCCCCCCCCACAGTTACCCAGGGCAGGGTTGGACTCCTAGTGGGCTGAGCTAGCATTCCACCTTCCTGGACTCCAGGAAAGGAACGTACCCGCCGAATGTACAGTGCTTCTTAATACCCTCTGTCTTTCTCCCCAGGCAAAATTCGGCCTACGCCGTCCTTAAGTGGAGAGGACGGATAGTTTTGTATTTCACAACTATCTAGGGATGGGAGGTCTGATAAAAATTTGCATGATGGAAAGGAAAATTTGAGCTTCATCCCATTTATTTGTTCTTCACTATTTTGGCAGTGCGGGGGATCGAACTCAGGACCTCACTCACGCCTGGCAGGTGCAAGAGCTCGAACACAGAGCTACCCTCCAGCCCAGGCAGTTACTTACTGAGCGCCTACTGCGGGCCCGAGATTAAGAAGAGCCTGGGCAATTTTCCCCCATTTTTCCAAGTCGTTAAAGACGGGGTGGGGGTGGGGATTTGCTTGGGTAAACTGGGATCCTGGCTCCGCCCCTCCGCCTCCGGCTGCCCCGCTCCGCCCACCACTTCACTCGGAGGCAGCAGGCCGGACTCGCCCGGACCAAGACCGCCAGGCAACCTGCGCCCACCGCTCCTGCAGCCTCGGGCTTCAAGCCCTGCAGCCAAGAAGGCAAGATCTCATGTTACACCACTGGTGCGTTCTGCTTCAGCTTCAGGTCCATCCAGAAAGCTTTCAGATAGATAGGTTCCTCAGCGAGACTGCGCTCGATTGAATCGGTCTGTCTCGACAGCCCAGTAGGCGGTTCACTGCTGCGGTTCCGAGGCCGGAGAGAGATCTTACTGCGCACGCGCGGTAGACAGCGATGGAGTCACCGGTGGAGCGGTCCGGAGGGGAGCAAGAACCTGCAGCGGTCAGGTACCGAGTACTGGATGGATCGAGGGAGGGAAGAGAGACTCAGGGGAGGGGAGCTGAGCCGGAACCGGAGCCCGCCCCGGCGAGCCGGGGCCCGAGAGAACAGCGGAGGCGGGCTTGTAGGGACCGGCGGCAGCGACGCGGACGCCCCTGTACTCGCAGGCTGCTGGACCTGCCCTGGGAAGACGTGCTGCTCCCGCACGTCCTGAGCCGGGTGCCGCTGCGCCAGCTGCTCCGGCTGCAGCGCGTCAGCCGGGCCTTCCGGGCGCTCGTCCAGCTGCACCTGGCGGGGCTGCGCTGCTTCGACGCCGCGCAGGTGAGCACGGCCCGGGAGCCCCGGCCCCGGCCCCGGCCGCTGCCCCTAAGTGCCTCACCCATGATGAGCGCCGCTCCGCCCGCGCCTCACTCGGCAGCGACTCCTCCGCGACCTCG